TTTTTCTCTCCTCTCTCTCTCTCTCTCCAAGATACACTCACGAATTCAAGGAAGAATCTCAAATTTTATTACTCAACGTAGAGAATGAAAGGCGGGCTCTTTATAATGATTTTTCCTGCTTCTTCTCAATTAGAGGTAGCCTCTATTTATAGACTAGGGTTAAAATGCGGGTGGTTCACCCAAAATTAACCCTAATTGATGATAATTAAGGTTTATTTGAATTAAAATAAATAAAAAATAGGTACAAAATGACTGTTTTGCTCCTATCTAACAACTCATGAAACTCCAAAACAGTCCATACTGCTGCCCTAGAACGTGTGTGATCTTCCGTGGATGATCCATGGTTGCTCTGGTGCCTGTTTGTCTGAAAGATGATTGTTTTCTTGTAGGGCTCAGCATGGCGATCGATTTGATATTAACTTCGAGCCATGGATCGTGTTTTTAAGCTATGATCAAGCGACTCAAAATTTGCATAGATCTTGAAAATTTTGGATCGATAGTGTGCTCGTTTCTTGATGTTTTTCCATGATTTCTTCATTGGATCACACTGAGCATGTCGTCATGATCGCCTGGCAACAAATGTAACTCGATTTCGTAACTTTGGAGTTTTGGCCAGAATCTGGAATTTCGACACTGGAATTTTCAGTCACTTTATTGGCTTTGTGTGCGAATCCAACTGCTCTTGACGTATGGGGTTCGGACCAGAGATAGCCCTAGACCTTACACATACGATAGAATATGTTTCGTGTCAATTCAATGCGCGAGCGCTGTGATTTGGTCGCATGAGCGAGGCAAGTCGCTGCTGATTTTCCTGCAATTTTCTTCACAGATCAGCAACTTCTCTCTAGTTTTTTTCCTCGTTCGAGCATCGTCATGGGGTGTGCCACATATCGAAACGCTCGTCTTGACGAGACGAACATGCTCACAAAATTTGAGCGCGATCCAACTCAAGACGAATGACATATGGACCCCGAAAGTCATTGTTCGAGATTATTCCTTTAATGGAGATTTATTGCAGGGTGGCCGCACAGGAATAGTGTGCAGCTCCTCGTGTTTCGGTCTTTTACCTATAACTTCTTTTTGGAGTGTCCGTTTAAGCTGAAATTTGATCCCTGGGGGTTTTCAACTGTGTCGGATCCAATGGCGGTGGTCCCATGGCTATTTGATGCTCTGAGAGTATGGTTCCAATTATAGGGTCCGTTTCAGGGTGAGAGAGGTTGATTCTGCCGAAACTGTTTATTAGTCTACACTGCCTTAGAGATGTCGAAATGTGACAAAACTTGGCAGGATGCGTTTTGGAGTCCTTATGAAGATCTTGGCTAGTTTTGGAACCATTCAGACACTGCTGAAATTTTCACTATTTGTCAAGCTTTATTGACCGGCTTCTCGCTTTTATTCCACGTCGGGGACCCATGGTGCTGAAAAATGTCTTCAAACAGTGATCTCATGCAACAGTTGTATCATAGTATAATGCAACCACATTTCTAAAAAACCATATTTGTGGTTTTTATACGACCCAAAATTTTACACACACTCCCCTCATCTCAATAATCAACCCCAAAAAAAAAGTTCTATTTAAACCCTAGATATGCTCAAAATGAGTTCCCTCCAACAACGAATCTAAACCATTCATTTGGTGAATTTCAAGATCGTAGCATTTATAAACTCAAAATCATTTTTTTTTCTCTTTTAACATTGTTCATCTAATGATAATAAAGCCATCTAAAAATTTGGAAAATAAAAAATCCTTCTAAGGACTTGATCTAAGTATCTTATCGAAATGTACGGCCTATAATAATTGGGCTAACAAAATACATTTGGGGTTGCGTTTTCAAATTTTCCTTTTCTGTGATTGTTCATTAGAATGAAAAAACGGTATATTTTAAAAAACATTTCAAATAAATGGCCCTAAGATGGTTTTTTAAGATTGTTGCAATATATTACTATACAACTGTTGCATGAGATCACTGCCCATATATAGGAAAACACTACAAAATGCCTATCGGTGAAGTTCTACAATACTTCACCTATGGCTTTATATCAAAGTTTATCACTCGGTCAAAGATGTCTTATAGTGTTTGAATTTTAATATTTTTTTTCCAAAGCATAATGATCTGAAATTGTGTAGATGTGTACACCTTAGTGAGATGCATATGAATAAAATATAAAACAAATAATTTGAATGATAAAAATTACTCAAAATACCCTTATAAAGTTTCAGGGGTAATTTCATCATTGTAGTTTATGACTATTATTTTTTAAATATTTATTTTGGTGTAGCTTCATCATATGTACACACACCCCAAATTTTAGATAAATTTGATTGGTACAATAATTATAAAAATTCAAATAGTACAGAAAACTATGATCGTGTGATGAACTTTAGACGGTGATGAGGTGTAGGTGAAGCAGTGTAGAACTTCACCTATAGGCGTTTTGTAGATG